GCACATTAAGAGACTAAATAAACTTACACTGAATGGTGCTTATGTCTAGATAAATATGTGTAGGAATATGCTGATAGTCTCTGCTCCCCAAAGAAAAGTTGAAAATGTATTAAAAAGGGGGTGATGGCAGAGGACAAATGGATGGGCCAAGGGATAGAAAAGATGTGCAGAATAGTGGCTAAATGTATTACTTCTGAAATCATACAATAAAAATCTATATTTTTTTTCACTAGACACAGAATTTAATATTCCAACTATCTAAGTTCTGTTTTTTAAAATATTTTTTGTATTTCAGGTAGATTCTATCTTACTGCTCCAAACCTGATTTAATTAAGCACATCAACTATGCATAACTATTCAAAAATAAATCAGACTGACTTTAACAAAACTTACTCTTGGAAGTATATAGAGGACTGCAACTCATTTCTCTTTTAAATTTTCAGTTAAATCTGCTGATTGCTTGGGGGTTTATGTATGTGTGTGTTGGTATGTTTTCTACATTGAGAGCCAGTTTGGTATGGTGGTAAAGGCATCAAACTAGAAACTGGGAGACTAAGTTCTAGTCCTGTCTTAGGCACATAACCAGCTTGCTGACCTTGCACCAGTCACACTCTCTCAATCTGGTGAAGAAGGCATTGGCAAACCACTTCTGAAAAATCTTACAAGAAAACTGCATGGATTTACCCAGGTAGTCTCTGAGAACTAAACACAAGGGAAAGTGTTTTATATGGAGCACTGGCCTGATTTCTTTTAATGTTTTGAACAGTGCTTTTTTTGTAAGAAAAAAGGTGCCAGAACTCACATCTTGTTAATCTTTTATTTAAAAATTTATATATTCAGTTCTTAGCAGGACCAGTGGTTGAGAAGTAATTAGTAATTTTTTTTCATTTTTAAATTTGGGCTCACACTTTTACACTAAAAATTTAAAAAAGATTTTCAATTCACCAACAATTTTTTAAAATAAAGAAATTATTGACCTTTTGCACGTAGTCAGTCACTGAACACACCCACACATGTTGTGTAATGAAACATAATGGTCGCCACCCGCAGAAAGCACTCAGCCTGTGACCACACAACCAATCACAAGCCGAGCAGTGGCAGAACCCGAGCAGTGCCATCACAACCAGCGCGGACGAAGTACGCATGCATCGGAACCAACACGCAAGCAGCCCGCATGCACCATTTTAATGATTTTGCCGCCGACCTGCTATGCTCAACAGGGCAATTCAAGTCCATATGGACCAAACATCAATTTTTCAAAAGTTACTTTTAAAACTTGGAAAATCCGTCGAAAAAAGGTGCCAGAATCCTGTTCCGGTGCATTCTATGAAAAAAAAAGCACTGGTTTTAAATAAATAGGCAAATTTAGGCAGCTAAAATGGGCCTATATGCCATTGCTAAAATTTCCTGAGGGTACCTCATCCAATTACTAGCCAGCAAATATGTATGATTGCTAATTAAAACACAGCAAACAGAATACAGTGTGGAACAACACTTTCTATAATCTTCAGACATGCAGACTGGGGATGATGAGATATATAGAATAATGTGCCTAAAAACTACAATTCCATGTATATCACCCTTCCTGATCTTTGGAAAAAATGTTAGAAGTGTATGTTCAGCTTGTTTTTTTTAGGTGAGAATTGTTTTTACACCGTGGATGCAAAAAACTAGAGTAAATATTTCTAGTTAGCAAATATATGGGGAGCATTAAATGTTGCTTCCAGAAACTTAATCATATTGCACCATAACCCAGCTGGGATATAAATCAGATTAACACACTCACCCAATGCTTCATTTATTCTTATTTCCTGGTATTTTTAATCCGTGGGTTTGGAAGGCAGGAGATGTGGCAGGAAGTTCACCTCCAAATATAGAAGATTTCCAGAGAACAAAAGCTAAGGATAAGCATAACAAGATATATTGGCATGAAGAGTAAACCATTTTTTATGGTTGTAGAATGACCTGAATATTTGAATCCTTGCAATAAGTTACTGCAGGGCATGAGGCTTCCATTTATTTCCTAGAGCAGATATTTTGCCCACTTTTGATAGCATCCATCAACTTATCGCAATTTTAATAATAGACAACACTGAAAGAGGTTTTGGGGTCTCACTGGTTGTCCTACACAAATTAATTAAAATTAATTAATGTTAAAATTCCAGTTCTGGTGGAAAATCAGATCCCTTGCAGATACCATCCTAACCAATACTTGAAAAATACCTTGGAGAGATAAATCTTGATACATCAGCAAGACTACTTGAGAGAATCAAACAATCTGATCCTAAGCAGTTTAGGTCTTTGGAGGATAAGAACAATGCTCTAAATACTTGCAGGATGAAGCCCTATATTTTCTGGCTACCTCTACCTATAACTGTCACCTAAGGAATTCTGGGAGTTGAAGTCTACACTTCTTAAAATTGCCAAGATTGAGAAACACTGTGCTAAACTATCACTGTGACTTAAGTTTCTATTTATTTCAATAAGTATGACAGCATTTAACTCAGATAACCTTCATACGTGATCAGACCAGGATATTGTGGGTTCTTGTGTCAGCACAGTATAATGCCATGCTGCTAATCAGCCTATTTGTCTCCAGTGGGGAAAATGAATGTTGGTTCTTATTTTGAATGGAATAGTGGTTTCCGCTGTGTTCCTTGCTTGGTCAAGGTGGGCTTTATTTATCTTCAAATAAACAGAGCAAGTTGAGAAAATTATAGAAGTATCTGGGTAATATTATGCACCAATATCAATGGCCATGAATACTATTGTCACATAGTTTTTCTCTTTGTCTTTTGGATTCCGATAGTTAATGCAAAACTCATATTGAATTCTGCCTATCCAGAATTAATTTTTGGAATCTCAGACCAAATGCAGATGTAATGAAAGAAAATTCTCCCAAATTTTCCTTGTGCTGTTTGCTTTTTTAGGAACTATATGTTTTGCCGTATTAGACAAATATCTATATATTATTCTGTTTGAATTCAGTTACCTATTGGGGAATTTGTAAGCTGCTCAGAGAACACTGAAATCATATCAGACAAGGAATAAAATATGGGATTGGAATCAGGAATGACACCAAATCATTTTGTGTGTATTTCTCTCTTGCAAACTAGAGTCATTCAGCCGAATTTTCTCTGCAGTTCAGATTTAACAATATGAGAACTGCCAGTCTAATACGGAAAGCTCCACTAGGTTTTCATCATAAATGTGTCCCAATGAAAGAAATTAAAATGTTTACTCTGTGAACACATCCTGACGAACTATAACTCAACAGGGTGATATACTTGACTACAAGAACTGTAGCACATACACCTCTGGTGGTTATGAAATTGCTTGTATTGGCCAACATCTGAAATGCTGCCACAGATACCTTGCTCCTGCACAGCCTAGTCCTTAAGTTTCAAAAAGTTTAAATCTGTTATCAAATCTGTTCAAAAGTTATTGAACCAGAAAATCCTTAGGGGACTATGCAGAGGTTATCCCACAAATATTCAGAGATCTCAGGGTTCAAAAACTAATTCGTCTGGTTCCTTTTGAGGAAAAGCAAGCTAAATTTGCTGTGGACGACCAAACCAAATATTAGCAATAGCAACACTGAAAAGCGCTTTTTCCAAGGGAGAAACACATCTCCTTTCCACAACTATTAGCCACTAGTCTTAAGATGGCCATTCTTAAACAAAGAATCTTTAAAAAGTTATTCTTTGAAAGAGATTATCTTCACTTCATGAAGAGGTTTATCTTCATGAAGATAATTGTACAATTATTCATGTTTTAGTTCATAAATGCAAATTGCATTGTCACTCAATAGCTGTTCTGCAAAAAGCCACTGCTGTTTTCTTTTGACATCACTGATTGTACTTTACTCTCACTCCTAAATGATTCAGAATATGTGAATGCAGAGGTTTGTGTGTGGACTCTCAGAAGCCATAGTCCAGCACATCAAGGACTGACTGGTAACCAAGTGGAGGATTTCTGCTACAAGTTTTTGCTCTTCTTCAGAAGCCACGATTCCTGGGCACAAACCAGCATCAGAAATAAGCAGTTCAAATTGCAGCTATCTAGATTTTATTTAAATGTAGAGAAAACCTCCCTGATTATAAAATTAGTCCAACAGTAGAGCACTCTATCAATGGAGGTTGTTGGCTGTCCGTCCCTAGAGAATTATATATATAAAAACAAGCTGGACAGCCACCTCTCAAAATAGCTTAACTGGTTTTCTATACTTTACAGAGAGTTGGACTAGTCCAGGGGTAGGCAACCTTGGCTCTTTTATGACTCGTGGACTTCAACTCCCAGAATTCCTGAGCCAGCAGGAATTCTGGGAGTTGAAGTCCATGAGTCATAAAAGAGCCAAGGTTGTCTACCCCTGGACTAGTCCATAGTGCCCTAATCTTAGCAGCTGTAAGATGTGTGGATTTCAACTCCCAAAATTCTCCAGCTAGCATGCTGGCTGGGGAATTCTGGGAACTGAAGTTCACTATCTTAAACCTGTCAAGACTGGAATGCATTGGAGTAGGCAATTCATCTGGTCCCTTCCAGCTCTACAATTCTTGGTTGTTTATGATTTCAAATGTCTTGCAATACAATTATTAATCTCCTGGAACTGAAACCTAAAGAAGAGGGGATTGGCACTGGGCTGGGAAGGCAGGACAGGGAAAGAAAGACATAGGGATTGATGAAGAGTTGTCAAGAAAGCTACTGTTTCTTGATTAACTTTTCCCTCCTGCGGCACTCTGCTGCTCTTCGGAACGGGCTAAGACGGGCAGCTACTGATCTCTTTTGAGTGGCGTCATTTTAATAGGCGTCCAGCTGAGGGCTTCTTAGGAGCCAGAATCCTGATGCCTACCTGCCTCCTCTGGAGGACTCAATAATTCAGGCGGCAGCTGGCAAGAGACCAAGCTTCCCTCCCCTCCCCTCCTCTCCCCCACTCCTGCCGCCTCCTCTTCGCCTGCCCTCCCATCGCTACCTCCAGCCTCCCCTAACGCAGCTATGAAGGAGAGTTGAGCTCTGCCACCTTCAGTTGCTTTTGCAGCACGGGAAGTTAGCACCGGGCAGCGCCTGCTGCTAAGGGGATCCCGAGGGACTGAAAAGAGGCAAAGGCAAAGGGAGGGAATCCAGAGGGAGAGTTTTTCTTGTGAGAAGTAGGAGGCTGTCTGACTCCAGGACTTCGTGATGGACCCCAAGGAGCGGAAGAAAATCCAGTTTTCGGTACCTGCGCCGCCCAGCCAGCTGGATCCCCGTGCAGTGGAAATGGTAAGGAAGGAGCAGTGGAGGGGGGGGGGCAGCCTAGGGAGGGATTCGAGGCGTGGAAAGAAGTTGGGAAAGTAACAATGGTCAATCCCGTTTCCTTTTCCTTTCTTCTCCTCTCCTCTTCTCTGAAGTCCTTCTGTTTATTAGGCATGGAAGTACATCCAGTGCACTGATTGCTGTTTAAATACAAACTTGCACACACACACACACACACACACACACACACACACAGAGACAGAGAAGGGCACATAGGTGACTTAGCAATGGTTAGAACTAGACTAAAATCATTGGGATTTCAGTTAGAGTTACAAACTCTGGATTCCCAAAGCACTTAACCCACAGAGGAAAACAAGACCTCCAGAAACTGCTTTAAACTTACTTCCAAATCATCCCTGTATGATTTATTTACTATATTTCCTTACTGAAGTTCTCGAACAGGTAGGGTTTATATAAACTGATTATTACACCATACATGTTTCCTATAAATAATGCCTATACGTGCTTATTTTTCTTTTATATCATACTCTGCTAATGTTCTTGTTTACTTTCTAATTGATTTTATTTACTATATTTTTTAACTTTTAGTAAGTCACTTTGGGAAGCTTTTTCCCCCAGGGGGTTATAAGATTGTAAATGCAACCAGGTAAATAAATAATTCATTGCTTATACGTATTACATTTCTTAACACCATATGGGTCTTTGTATTGTATAGCACTGGAATAAATAAAGACACCGAAACACAAATCTGTGAATGCATGTCAAAAAACTTCCATGAACCCAGAGAATGGGGGGGGGGATACAATACAGTACTCCTTTATTTTGTAATAGTACATATAATTCATAAACTATATAAGATCTTTTCTTATAGATGTGCAGAAGCAAATTTACAGTAATTATGTACAGTCAACCATCTAAAGTCTACACCTGCTCAAACTTTTTTACACACTTAAAAGTCTCTTATGTGCAAATTCTCACATCTTATGCAGACTCTTAGCTTTTCACACTTGCTAATGTGATCTCTATGATTCCTGAATAGATTTTCACACCAGGTGGTGAAAAATGCCTTGACAAATTTGGCTCTCCTCTTTTGTAACAAATGCATCATTCCTAACTTCTCAACCTGATGATCTATAACTGTATTAGATTACATTCCCATCACACCCCAGACATCATTGAAGAAGTCATTATATCAGAAATTTGATTTCTGGTGAAATTGCGATATCAGAAATATGAATGTTAAGGAAGATATATTGCGATCAGGGGCCAAGGATTCAGCTTTCAGGCTCTTTGGGCCCTGGCCTCCCCATAACAAGTAGGTGATTTCTTAATTTGGTCATGGATCTGCAACCAAAGTTATCCTTCTGCAAAATCTAAATAACTTGTCACATTTTGGGTGTGTATAGAAATAAAATAGTAGAATTTGCATATTAGAAGAACAATAGAATCTAAGATATGTTTTAGAGACATGGTGAATTCATGCTTTATTATTGGCTATCATGCAAGCAATATCAGTTCTTATGTTATCTAAATAAACTGAATACACATACACTCACTCATCTAATGTAGTTGCAACATCACACTAGCTTAACTTTACCCTGTTAATACTGGATTCAAACATTGTGGTAAAGTATAAACCATGGTTACAAAGTAGCCCACCCACCCCAACCACTTTGTGACAGAATGTGATATATAACTCCGCAGAGAGAAAGAAGAGTAAGCTGGTAGAAGACGCTAATACAGTGAAAAAAATGCAGATATGATAATATATCTGCACCCAATCAATAAAGACTGAGCATATATTATCCCTGATTAATAAATGCACACACAGAAGAACATAGGAGCAAGGATGGCAAATTTGTAAAGAATGGGACAAAAAGACCACACAATGTTAAAATGCTTTATTTATTTTTTTATATTTGAAGGCCTGACAGTTTAATGTTTTCGCTCTCTCTAGCTTTGGTGCATATGCTGTTTAAGGTAAAGAGTCAGAAGATAGCCTAAAACAGATTAAACATCTAGGGGAAATGAGGCTCAGTGCTCTGCTCAAAACGGCCTGGTAGTTGTGTTCATGTCAATATGCTGAACTTAGTTACTAAATTAGCTTATTTCCAGGTCACTGAAGCATAAACTCACCAAGCAGGATGGTTTTCTAGAACATAGTAAGCTGCACAATAAAAACCCAAACTCTAAATACACAAGATTAAAAAAACAAAAACAAAATTTAGTAGAGTGTATACATTCCAGCACTAGGACTGTATCTGATTTGTTTAAATGAATTTATTTATTTATTTAATTTAATTTCTCTATCCATCTATCTCAGTCAGTGATTCTGGGCAGCTTACAATTCAAAAATATGCTGCAATTTAAAAACACATAATAAAAACAATACACATAGTAGCTGAAATATTTGCTGTATGAACATGAGTCAGTTGTAGGAAAATATTAGGTACCAGTGTTTTCAAAACAGATTCTGTCATTTAAACCAGGGGTCCCCAACTCCTGGTCCATCGACCGGCACTGGTCGGTGGCATGCCAGAAACCAGTCCATGCAAACAAGTGAAGCCCCATCTGCAGGATGCAGTCAGCACGCAAAACCACACCCCCTCCAGTCCGCGAAAAAATCTCTCTCCACGAAACCGGTACCTGGTGCCCAAATGGTTGGGGACATCTGATTTAAATGAGCTTGAGGCCAGAAGAACTGAAGTCCTCTCCCCCACCCTCTCTTTGATGCCTCCTAATCAAGTTTCGTCTTAAATCGCTTTCCGGGCAAGAAAGACTTTATGCCCCCCTCCCCACATTTTCAGATAGCAGATTATAGCTATTTGTTCAAGATAAACGCGAGAAGAGCAAGTAGATTGGTTTGGAGTACTGGCCTGCAAGGTAGGTATTCTGGCAGAAGAAACTCAATAGTTGCCTCATGAATGCATACAAGGACACAGGTCACTCATTCCCTCATCAGAGTCCTACCCACCAAAATATGGCATCAGTGTGAAATTCCCCAAATTTGATCTCCAACACTTTCCACTGAAAGAATTTGATGGCAGTCTTTGATATTTAACATCCACCTGAACACAGATTTTATTGAGATAAAATAAGGCCAGGCAAGTATTGGGAGGAACACTCTCATAAAATGGCTCCACGAAAGTCTTTTGTCTATACACAGCCTATTTGCATTGGGAGGAATAGCCCACAATAATCATTTATGGAAGACAACTCTTTGCTCCCTATTCAAGCCTTCCAGGATACATCCTACCATCCATGGTTTACTTTTAGTTTGGATAAACGGGCATATTTACAAATAAAGCACTGGACTATACTGGGATTTTGTTTCAGCATTGCATCTCTCTAGTATTCTCTCTGATTCAGGAGAAAAGGGAGGCATCAAGAACACAAAAACAACTTTCAATTGTCTACCCAGGCCTGACTAGTCAGTGGCCTGCCTTGTATAAGGCACTTTACTTTCCATTTGAATCTGTTGGCTGAATAAATTGGCTCGTGAACTGTATGTGAGAAGGATCCTCAGCTCTCATATCAGTCCTAAGACATATAGTACATTAGTTTTACTGTCATTGTTGATACTATAGATTTCCTCTCCTTGCAGCCCTCAAGGGATGCTGGGTTACAGATTTCCCTTACTCCTAGATACCAAAAGTGTGAGTGAATGGAATTGCAATTTACAAATCTGGAGAACTTTATTTTGGAGAAGTCAGTCTGTGGAGTAATGTGGTTAAAGTCCATAGGTTGTCCCAACACCCTCTGTATCCCTCCATAACTTTTCATAAGTGGAATAGAATCAACAATAGAAAGAATGTAACAGTGGAGCTAGAAGTCTTTTTCGGATTCCCCCGCTCTGTGTTTTCCTCTTCTTTGGACAGCTAATAAGATCGGCAAGTTAGATCTTCTGTCATAAAAGGGATACCCTTAATCCAACTACTGGATACTTCCCCCAATGCTGCAGGCTATGATTGTGTGTTCAAGGCATGAATATGGCACAGTTATAGCCATGGAATTTTGGCAATGGGAGCCACAGATTCCTTTTCTTGTGATGGCTGATGTTCCCGGTGGAATGGAAAGGCACCCTGAAAACATTTTAATTGTGCCCCACAGGCTGAAAGATCTTGGAACAATGCTGGGCAGTTGATTTCAGTACTGAAAAGTGCTACCAATCACAGATTTCAAAAAATCTACAAGGGCATCTGCTATTCATTTCTTCTGGAAAAACAATAGGGATAGGAAGTCAGAACTGTAGCCCCCACATTTCTCCCATCTCTTGTGAGAAGCAAAATAAAACTTCTATTTGATTTCTCTTCTAGATCCGTCGTCGGAGACCAACCCCAGCTTTGCTTTTCCAGCTTTCAGAAACTTCTTCCCCCGGTAAGTCATGATTTTTTTTTTTAATCAAACCTGAAGAAAGGAATGGAGAGCTTGGGTGTGGAGAATAGAGGTACAAGAATATGCATAGATATATTGAGCTGCTGTACCATGTTAGAATGTTAGCCCCTCTAGCATGCTGCTGAAGAATTCTAGGAATTGAAATCCATGCATTTTAAAATTGACAAGTTTGAAAAACATTGATCTAGAGTATTCAAGTCACTTCTGGATTGGCTTGCACTCAGAAGTTTATCCATTGGTTTGTTTGTTTTTTTTATCCAGCAATGATCTTGAAAGCTCTTTACCAGGAGATGCCAGGGGCAGAGCAATGTTGAAAAGAAATGTCAAAATCTTTTTTAAATCAAATGCTAATTTCCAGTATCTTCATGAGAGAAACTAAATTCCATTCTTTCAACTCTAGATTTTGATATTTTCTTCTGGGATTGTTTGATTATTGCACTTGCAAAGAACATTCAAGAGTATCTTGTTGATCAGCAACACCTGCAATTGCTCTGTAAAATTGGTTAATGCTCTTAGTCCCATACTAAATAACATTGTAGGAGAAGAGTGGCAGAGTCAGGGGGAGGAGTAAAAAGAGGATTCAGAGTAGAATCCTTACATAGCCACAAACAAACTAAATCTAACCCTCCCTTGTGTGCTATTGACCCTAATCTAACTATAATCAGGAGCTGACCATTAGTTGAGACTATTCCTATGCATAGACTTTTAGCAAAAAATCAGTGAAATTGAAACCTCAGGTGTGGACCTGATTTTATCTACCTATCAAATGTGTCAAAAATGGAAACTGTACATTTCTTAAGTTTATTTCATAGGTTGCAAATGTAAAGTGATTTGACATTCCTCTCCTTTCACTAGTTCAATATGGCTGGTTCAGTAAGTGGCATATTTGCATATGTCCCTGGTTTGTGAGTGGGTACACAGAGCTTAGTTAACAAAGCCTAGCTTGAAATTGAAACATGGGGGTTTGGCTTTGTCCGTCTGAAATAAACAGGGAACAAAGCTATGGCTCCATTTAGTTTTTAATGGCTTCATTCTCTGGCTTCTTCCAGGCAGCCAAAGCCAGAATCCTGCATTTGTGCAATGTGCTAACTTGGTTAACAGGCCATAGAAGAGCCAGCATGCACATAAGAAGAGCCCCCTTGGATCAGGCTATAAGTCACCTTGTCCAGGACTTTATGTCAAATATTATAATTGCCCACTGGATTCATTTTGGAATGGTTCTCCTAATGTTGCTTTGCAGCAATCAATGTTTCAGGCATGCTAACTATAATTCAGGATGTTGTAAATAGCCATCAGTATTACTGCTAGTGGCCATTAATTAGAAGGAGTCTGATAACAACTTTCCAGACTTATACATTTTATGAAAAAGGAAAAGCTTTTCTGAACCACAGCTCACTTAATCAGATCCATTGAGGGGCTAAACTGATATAGGATTTAAATTGGGATGAGTTGGAAAGCAATAAAAGGGGGAAGGCAAGTGGTTATATATATGCAGGTTACATATGGGACATATTATAAATACATTATCAAGTGTCAATTATAAAATGTTACCAGTCCATTGTATTTCTTAAAATCTTCTGAGATGGCTTCAAATCCTTTGATATATGTGAGTTCAGCAGTTTCTTGCTCAATTATCTTGGTGAAGTTTCCTTGCTCCAAAACAGCTACTTTGAACATCTACTGCTAGCCATTGATAGCCTGAGAGTCCACAAAAACATAGCAGCTATTCCATAGCTTCACTATATACAATATAAATATGCATTTCCTTTTCTTGATCCTGAATCTCCCAATATTTAGTGGGGGTGATTGACCTTGAGTTCCAAACTGATTGTACAAAAGTACTTTTCACATTATTTGTGGCATACATAATTTTATATACCGGTAGTTCTCTCATGTCTCCAGTCATCCTCTTTTTTCCTAGGCTGTAATCATTGCTGTAATCTTTCAATATAGGAGAGTTGCTCCAGTCCCATAATCATTTTGACTGCCCTTTTTTGCACCTGCAGGTCTAAAATCTTCTACAGGTAGTTCTTGTCTTATAACTATTTGCTTAATGACCGAAATTGCAAAGGCACTGAAAAAAAATGACTTATCACTGGTCCTCATAACAATTGCAGCATCCTCACATCACATGATCAAAATTCAGGCATTGGCAACCACCATATAATTACAATAGTTGCAGCAGCATCCTGGGGTCGTGTGATTGCCATTTGTGACCTTCCCAGCTGGCTTCCATCAAGCAAAGTCAGCGGGGAAAGCTGAACTCGTTTAATGACCATGTTAAGCTTTTAACAAGTCCAGTGATTTGCTTTAAAATGGCGGCAAAATAAGCTGTAAAATCTGGAGCTTAGCTCATTTAATGATACCACCTTGCTTCGCAGTGGAAATTCTGGTCCCAGTTGTAGTCATAAGTTGAGGGCAGATCAGAGTTTTGCACAAGGAGTTTAGCACCTCTATTTAAACTCCCTTTCTAAACATCCCAAGTATGGGATTTGGCCCTCTTTATTTTAACATTCACACACAAGTGACATTTTTATTTTGTTGTCTGCCATTCCTCCAAGACTCCCTTCCTGATTATTCACTGCCGGCTGAGAACCTTTTGTGCCAGTATGCATGATTTTATATTTGTTTAAGTGTCTGTTTATCCCTTCACCAGTTTTATTGCTTAGCATGACAAGCAAGAAGAGTCTCAGATTCATATTGTTATGCAAATGTGTTATGCAAAACCAGCCATGACTTTGGCCTAGCTCAGTGTGACTCTAGTAACTCCTACTAGTAAGCCCTTTGGGAGTCAATGGGACTTACTTTTGAATATGTTCAAAAGAGATACCAATTCAGAAATAAAGCATTTCTATATTTGAAAAGAGAAAAATGAGAGAGGGGGGGGGAGGGAGGGAGGGATCTACACAGGCAAGCATTTGCTCTCGTCCTACTCAGTAAAACAACTTCTCCTCCTCCTAGCAAACCGCATATTCTTTTTTCAGTAAAGCTTATCCCTGGAGGTTTTTATTTTCTTTCTTTCTTGTTTGTTCTGAAAGTTTAGCTCCAGGAACCAGGAAGGGTATCTTCTGCAGCCTTTCTCTGAACAATAGCCCTGCTGTTACACATGGAAAGGCATGGTGTTCGGAACAGGCCTTACCTATTCCACAGCCTGCTTCCTCCCAGGGAGCATTCCTTAATGCTTTTTTCAGCAAAGTTTATTTGACTAAGAGGTTTTTACAGACACAGGAGTGAATAAACAGTTTACTTTTTAATTTCAGTTGAATTTCCTTGCAGTTGACTATGTTTTATATTTAAGAGTTGGGTGTTAAAAATTTGGCTTTTCACTGTGTGGGTGATACAGTGGTTTTCTTTCTTGTGAAGAGATTGGCAACCTACAGCTTCAGGGCTACACAACCCTCCACCCCCAAAGAGAGTTCTTTGATCACAAATGCCATATATCAGTGATAGAAATGAAAAAAAAAGGTCCCTAAAGCCCTCGTTGGGTGTATCTGGGGGGGGGGGGGGAGGGAGAGACAGAGATTATTGTATTACTTATTTATTTAGTTGGATACTGGTTTTAGTCCATTTATGGTTTAGTTCCTTAATGGATCACGTTCTTAATAGCTAAACACAGGTAGCTGCTTCCATGCTGCAACAAATGGATTTAACCAAGTGATAATTAAATAGAAGTTAACATTTAGCCTACCTAAGTAGTTGAATCTAAAGGAGAGAGGAAAATTCTTTGCAGTAACCACAAGTCACAAGTGTAATTAGCTCCTCATGGTGCAGCTGAGACAATTCTACTCCTGGCTATGAATGTCCGCTCTCTCTCTCTCTCTGTATGTATATATACAAAGTTTATACATATATAAATATTGCCAAAAGTAACTGCCAATGCGGAGGCGTTCACTCAAATAATTGGCATGTGGTGTTGCCTTGAAATAGTTACATTTGAAGAAACCATCAGCCCAGCTGCTTAGCTATGGAAAGATATAACACCAGTACAAGCTTGGTACACCAAGTTTGGTAAACTATTTGTTTAGCGAACGTTCAAAGTTACAGTAGCACTGAAAGTGGCTTATAGCTGGTCCTTGCAGTTATTACTGTTGCAGCATCCCCACCATCCTGTAATCAAAATTTGAAACTTGGCAACTGGCATGTATTTATGATGGTTGTAGCTGGCTTCCCAGCCAGCTTCTGACAAATAAAATCAATGGGGGAAGTCAGCTTCACTCAACGGTCATATGTTTCACTTAATAAGTGCAGTGATTCACTTAATTGTGGCAGAAAAGGTTGTAAAATCAGGCATGACTCACTTAACAACCGCTTTGCTCAGCAATGGAAATTCTGGTTCTAGCTGTGGTTGTAAGTCAAGGACTACCTGTATAACAGTCAAGAGCCAACATTTTTATCTCTTGGACCTGTGGTGTCAAAGAAAAGTGTGCTTTATGTTTCTTTTTTTTAAACTCATAATATTCTCTTTTTCTTTTGCCCTCCCTATACTCTTCATACTGCTTGCTACAGAAGATGAAGCAACCCCTTATCAGGTCAGTATTGTGGATTATTGTAAGATGCTATAAGCTAAGCCCACTGGACTTCACCATTCCCAAGCCTGAATGATCAAGGCCCATATAGTAGTGTAGGGCAGGGCTTTTCAATCAGTGGTATGCCTGCTACTGGTGGTATGTCAGCACCTGGCAGTGGTATGCTTACGATGGATTGAAAAGCACTGTAAAAAAAAGTGTGAAAAAAGTGTGAAAAAAGTGTAGCATAGGGATGGATTGAAGTGGTGGAAATGCAGCACAGGCCTGTGGGAGAGCCAGCTGGAGCCACGCTGTTGCCGGGGCTCTGTTGAGTGCTCAGGATCTGTGCCAGGCTCCAGCTGATTGGCGCTTCTGGAAGCTGCGTGCAGCCTGGGGAAAGGAGTCAGTTGCAGCTACACCAAAGATAAAAGGAGGAGGAGGGGATAGACATGCCCATGGGGTGTTTACATTTGGCCCGGGTCCACCCTGGAGACAGCGAGGGGCTGGCCCACCCCAGCCCACAATCAAAGGAAAACCCTGAATCCAGCGGGCCAGAAGGCAGCCCAGCCACCGCGCCGGTTCTTTCTCCTTGCCCCTGGGCACAGATGCAGTTGCTGCTCCTCGCCATAGCTGGGGTGAGACTTGCAAGTACCTCCGTCCTACAAAGCGGTGCTCCCCGGCACTCCCGCCCACTGCAATGCCGGCAGCCCTGACTAAGGCCGCATGCTCCAGCCTCACCCTGCCAAGGAAGGAGGCAGCAGCCCAGACTACAGCAGATCTGCAGCTTGTCAGTGGCGCTCAAAGGCTGCCCAACTTTAGTTATATTGTAAAACTTTTAAAAATTTTCAATTAAAAAAAAAAAAAAAGGCTGCCCAACTTTACTCTGGAATTTTTGGGTTGGAAAGCGGAGGGGCAGCGACGCGTTTGCAGGCCTGGCACCTGGTGAAAAACCTCCTACTTCCCCCCCACAGCTACCTCCTTCAGAGCCATCCTGATTCCGATGGGCCTGCCAACATAGATCTGCCAGCTTCATCCTGCAAAGCGCAGTTCACCTGGGGCTCTCACCCGCTGCCATGCCGACAGGCCCATCAGGCCCAGGAAGACTCCGAAGGAGGTAACTGCAGGGGGGGAGGCTTTCCAGCAGGTGCTGACAGGCCTGCCAATGCAGTACTGCCCCTCTGTTTTCCAAGCCCGAAATTCCAGAGTAAAGTTGGGCAGCCTTTGAGCGCCACTGACAAGCTGCAGATCTGCTGTAGTCTCGGCTGCCGCCTCCTTCCTTTGCAGGGCAAGGCTGGAGTGCATGGCCTTTAGTCGGGGCTGCCAGCATGGTGGTGGCCGGGAGCGCCAGGGGAGCACCATTTTGCAAGATGGAGTACTTGCAAGTCCCGCCCCAGCTATGGTGAGGAGCAGCGACTGTGTCTGTGCTCAGGGGGTGAGGAGAAGGAACCGGAGGTGTGCGGTGGCTGGGCTGTCTTCTGGCCCACTGGATTTGGGGTTTTCCTTTGATTGGGGGCCTATGGCCTGACCCTTACCGAAATGCAAATCCCTCTCTAAGCAGGGATTGGGAGGCTGAAGGCCTCTATTTTTGTGGCCATGCAGTTCTGAAATCGATGGGCTGCTGCTGGGGATGAGAATCAAAATAGGGCAAAACAAGCCTAGTCCATCATGGTTTATTGATTGCAAAGTTTTCCTTGGGTTTTCCTATCCCTTCCTGGGCTATTAAAATCACATTGGCAAGGTATACTGAACAGCTGGCTGCAAACTACTCAACCGGATTTTAGCCTAGCCCTTGTGCAATCCCAGGCCACATTCTGGAGGTAAGAGGATGTAGTAACAAGAGAGCTGCAAAATTGATTTGTTATTTATTCTTGCCTTTGGCAGCAATATCTATGTTGTTTGACAACTTTGCTAGCAACCTACAGGCTGTGAACTTTCTTTTCCCCCTTGGGAAAAGAATTCACAAGTGCTAGATTTATTTTTTCCTGCTAATTACAGTATACCTCGTGGGTTTTTTTAGGGAGCTTATTAGAAGAAGATGTGTATGAAAATTAAAGAATATATGGATTGAGCTGTGAGACAGGGAAGGAAAGTACATGGACATATGCACTTTCAGTTGCTGACTGGACACCTGCATGCTCTCAGGGCTGAAAGATTATCTTCATTCTTCATAGGGTGGTATTGTGGATTAACTAAATTTTTCTGGGTTCTGATTTTAAGGTGAGTATCCTGAGCTACAGCGACCTTTGATCTTCTTCTTAAATACATAATAAATAAAATAATGAGAACTAAAGGCTCAAAGGGAAGGCAGATTAGAAAGAATGAGACCTTTTGGGGTCTTCAATTCTCTTCCTGTTAAGAGTTCCTTAATAAGGGTTTGGAGAGGTAGAAGTGACAAATATGAAGGCTGCACCTTGCCCTCCAGATCTCTGTCTCCCCTGCAGATCTCTGGAAAGGAGGAGGGTATGGCAGGGGAGCTGTGTGAGGGAAGGCTGTTCCAACAAGCCAGCATCCTTACCATGCACAATTGGAAATGGGAATTCTCTTTTGAGAAGAGCCAGCCTCCCTTGTGCAGGACCCGGGGGTGCTGCTCCCCTGCAGCCTCCTCTTGCTCTCCAGAGATCTGTCAAGATAGGAGTTGGACTCAGAGGAAACTGCTTCCTGCAAATGTCCTCCACCTCCTGCTTTGCCAGATGGGGGCACCGGACAGGGAAACACTAACTATGTCTGAGATTGAGAAAAGAACATCTCTTTAGCATGCTATCCACATACACACACACACACAAACACACACAAACATTCCAAGCTTGGAGACTTGTATCCACATCTGAGCTAGCAAATTGCCAATCATGCCTGGGCTTGGGGAGAAGGCCCTCTCCTTCCTCTGTGGATAAAAGTCCCCAAACCTGGAATGCGGTGTGTTGTGCATGTGTGTGTGTGCACGCATGCGCTTGGCTGCTAGCAGTTTGGGGAGGCGAGGAGTTTGTGGGGCACCGAGTTGTTCCCACATCGAGTTAACTGGTGCGACTTGTTCCGTTCTGACCCAGCTGTCTCGAGTCTTGAAAAGACCTGGTGTAGGGTGTTGGACAAGATCAGGAGACCCAGGAGTAAGGCTTTCTTCAGCCATAGAAACTCATTGGATTTCTTCAGGCCAGTTCCCACCTGTTATTCCAGTTTATTTCACAGGGTGATCATCGTGAATATTAAATTGGGAAGGGAAGTATTATGTATATGACGCTGAACTATTTGAAGGAAAGTTGTGATATAAATCTAAATGTATACTTAAATACCATTATATTTTCCTTTGCTATAGAGAAATGGTGGCGAACCTATGGCACGGGTGCCAGAGGCGGCACTCAGAGCCCTCTCTGTGGGCATGCGCGCCATCGCCCCAGTCCTAGGCCTTCAGCTGGGTTTTATAAAACCTTTTCGCTTTAGGGTTCCGCCACCGTGTACAAAAAAAAAAAGTTCAATCAATCAGTCAATTTCAACTTCTTGCAGGAAAAAAAAAAGATCTTGCAAAGTTGGAATTGATTGATTGAACTTTTTAGTCCCACCCAGTCTGCCGTTACCACTGCAGCCACGCCCACCCAATGGGCCATGCCCACCCAATGGGCCACGCCCACCCGGCACTCAACGATGCATAAGTGGGTTTTGGGTTGCAGTTTGGGCACTCAGTCTCTAAAAGGTTCACCATCACTGCTATAGAGTTATCAACAGAACTACCACTAACTACCATTAAAACCTCCTCATCCCTAAACTGGAGCAACTGGTCAGATTTAACCACAAGTTAACAATAGCAATAGCATTTAGGCTTATATACCACCCCAAAGTGCTTTATAGCACGCTCTGGGCTGTTTACAATGTAGCAGCATTATTTGCATATTGCCCCCAACAATCTGGGTCCTCATTTTACCAACCTTGGAAGGATGGACCACTGCACCACCAGAACTCCTTACAATAATAAATAGCACAAACAGAAGAGGAAAAAAACTGATTTTGGCTGATAATGCTGTTGCCTGCTGTTCCTTAGAATTCCTGAGACCTTAGTGAGATGTTGCTTTGGAAATATCCTTTCTAATTTAATTCTTAGAGCTGAAGACTCAGGTATCACCACAAGACATCTTGATTCCAAGTAGTAGAGAGGGCATGCATGGGACTCCTTCCATCAAACAGTGTCATCGTGTTGAATCCGGGAATTGTACCCCCTCTGTGAAACAGCATTCCTGTTGAAATCCAAATGCCAGACCCTGCTAACCTTTTATAGGTCTTCTAATTCTGGCTGGTCCCCTAAGCATTTGGATCAGGAGATTAAGGGAACACTGCTGGCCATGCAGCTTTTATTATTTGGGTGTATTATTTAACCCCAGGTGTCATAGCTCTTAGGTGGTTGTTGTTATTGTTTTTACTTTGTTTGTTGTCCAGAGATACTGTTGTGAGAGGAGTGGCGTTATAAATTAAATTTAAAAAACAAAAACAAATAGAGCCCAGAGAGGCTATAGATAGTTTTTTAATCAACAGCATAGTAGACAAAAGGTCTCTCTAAGAGTTGGGGGTGTAGAAACTATCCCCAGTTGCAAAGCCCTTATGCCATACCTGTGTATGACTCAGTGCTCTTGGTTTATCTCCTTCCAATTTGGAAACCTACTCAAGTCTATGATTCATTCTGGAGAAGAAGGGGTTGTGAAATCTCCAAAGGCATGTAAAAGTTAGTCTTGTATATTCTCAGACTCTGTCTTTTGGAGTGGAACAGTTGAATGTTTCTCCTGGTTTAATTAACAGAAAATATAGATCTGTGAGTCACAATCAAAGAAAGATAACCCTTCAGATTGTTTTGAATAACAGTAAAGATGGGATGAGGTGATTTCTGTAGGATAGGAGTGTCAAACTCGCAACGTCATGTGACGTGTTGCAACGTATCGTGACTTTTTTTCCATTGCCCGCAATGGGGTGGGCGTGGTTTCATCATGACACATCTGGCCCACAGGCCGGCAGTTTAACACCCCTGCTGTAGAGGAGGAGTGACA